TCTGAGCTTTGAGAGCCTCTAGGCTGCATCCTCTTGGTGGGGGCAGGGGAAGGGGGTCCACACGTCATCTGAGGGAAGCGTGTTCCCTTTCCACAGGTTGTCTTTCCCTTGGCTTCTTGTTCTCAATGGGAAGATGGCAGTAACACCTGCGTCACAAGCTTGTTAAAGGGTCACAGTCCACCAAAGCGGGTTACATGGGCCTTTAGTGGCGCCTGCCGTGGGCTGGGCTGGGCTCTGGGGACATGGGGACATGCGGACGATGGGGACGATGCCCTGCCTCCAGGAGCACAGAAGCCATTTTAAAAATAATATATATATATATTTTTTCTAATTATTATCAACAACGGTTATGTATTATCTTATTTGGAAAATACAGAAAAGCAGAAAGAAGGACGTAAAACTACGCTCTAAGCCAGGCAGTGCGCCTCTGCCCCGCTGTAAAGAAGGTGGTGATGTGCACATGGTTGTACATGTTGTTGGGTTTTTTGGAAGGAAGGTTCTGAAACACTGAATGGCTCTTAAAACTTTTACCAGCCCGATAATTTCAAAAAAGAAAAAAAAATCCCCCCAAAACCCAAAAAATAAATAAAAGAAAAAAACTTTTGCTAAAGTGTTTTTCCAAAGTCTACAGCGATTTCACCACGACCTCACTATGATCGGCCCTTTCCATTTTTGCTGGTTTGCAGGCTGAGCGGCAGCCGCTGTGTCCTCAGTAGGACGCGGCGTTTGCTCTCTCCCTCGCTGATGTGTGTGAACCGCCTGTTGTGTGCTTTGTCCATTTGGGGATGCTGTAAGGTTTAAGTGTTTTTAACATGAAATTAATTACCAAACCAACCTTATGTTTAAAGAAAAAAGAAAACAGGTTCCTAGGGTTTTATTGTAAGAGAATAAACTAATCAGAAATAAAAACGAAGCTATATGCCATGTGTTTATTACAGGATTGTCAATAATAACAAAAACAACATAGCTAACCGCGGTGCTCCATAGAGAAGTGCAATGATGCAGGAGGCAAGATTTGAAGGAATATTATGCAACCATTAAAATAATGTTATGAAGGTTGCATAGCAACAAACAAAAATGTTTACAGTTTAAAACAAAATAAGTACAAAGCTCTGTGCATGTTGTTATTACAACTAAGTGAAAACATCGTTGTGGGGCCAGAGAACCACGAGTGCGGTGTACAGTTTGGGGGGGGCTCCTTCTCCCCAGCCCTCATCAGCCTTCAGTCTCGCTCAGGCACACTCAACAGGACCGAGCAGCGGACCCAGGGCTATCGGTCAGTGTGGACAGCCCTCCTCACCAGCCCCTGGCCTGAGCAGGGTTTGGTTTGCTTTCTTTTTGGTGCTGGTGGCCAAGGTGCACTTTCAGCTCAGGAGACCAAGGATCTAGCCGTGCTTCTGCTACTTACTGGCTGTGTGACTCGGGGCCTCCCTGCCTGCTCCCCCTTCTGTAATATGAAGGTTCTAGAGCATCAGGAATGACGGTGGCTTTGCTGGTTGCAAAGATCCAGGAGTCTGAGGGGTGAGGAGCTCTGTGGGCAGAGCTCTGACCACACAAGATTTCATTGGAGGACTGAAACAAAACAAATCCAACCCCCTCCAAAAAATCCCACAAAATGTTTAGCACTATCCAAAAAAATAGAAATCCTTAGACTAGAAATGTGCTCAGGCTGTTGTAGCTGTGGGACCACAGCTCCATTGCGGCCAGCTTTGCCCCAGCACCTTTGGTGGCTCCTGCTCACGTCCTCTGGCCTTCCACTCCCTCCAGAATCTAGTCCCCTGGGCCCTTGCCCACCTCTCCTGCTGCAGGCACCTGGGGGTATTACGAGGCCACACCTACCACCTGCCTTGCTCACCCCTGCTCTCAGCCCAGCCCACCTCCCCCAGCTCAGCCCTGCCCATCAAAGCCCTACCCATTCTTCAAGGCCCAGCTCAAATGCCCGCTTCCCCATATGCTCCGCTGATTCCCCTAACTGCCCCCCCACCCCGTCGCCACCCCTGACTCCCCGGTCATTGGCTTTGCTGTTTCCTGCAGGTTCTGCATATTTCCCTGGAAGCATGTCGGTCCTCCACCACTGTGTTCTTACTCCCAGAGTGTTCTTGATAGGGATGTTTAGGAGGGCTTTCCAGAGACACAATATCAGCAGCGCATGAGACCTGGGTTCGAATCCCAGCCCTGCCACTTACCAGGGTGTGACCTGAGGGCAAGTTAGCTCATCTCTCTGGGCCTCAGCCTTCTCATCTGCACAGTGGGAGCCGTGGTGAGGAGCAGGGCACCTGGCACATCTGACCCATGCAAGGGTCAATGATGTCCATTCCCCTTTACTTCCTCTGCTACTCGTACATTCCACGTATATATTAGTTAATATACGTTAAAGTAGAACACATATGCAGAAAGCTTGCATTGTATTTTTTCGAAATAATGCATGTGCATAACTTTACCTTTAAATAGGAGCAAAGGGTTTATAATTAAAAGCAGCTGCCCTTGCATCGCCTCTCCCCACCCTGTAGAATTTACCATTGCATATTTTTACATTGCATACGTGTTTACTATAGAAAATCAGAAAATGTAGACAAGCAAACCAAGCAGAACCCATTAAATCCCACTTCTCATTTTAGAATGGCTTCTTCCAGATCATTTAGCCATGTATTTTTTTTTTTCCAAAAAAGGTCCTCAGTGTATTTTTTTCTGTGCATTACCACTCTAATCACTGTCTGCCTTCAATTAAGGGAAGGAAACAAATATTTGTTGAGTAAAAGCTACTCAGTCCTTGCTGCTGGGAGTGCGCCCCAAGGACCAGCAGCCGGGGCATCACGGGAAGCTTGTTGAGAAGGCAGTGTCTTGGGTGCCACCTCAGAATCTGCATCATGACAAGATCTTGGTGACTGGTGTGCACGTTGAAGCCGGGAAAGGCGGCGTGGACCAGAGCTACTCAGAGTTGCAGTCCACAAGCTGCTCCTTACGGTCCTGGATGGGAGGCTTGAGCCAGAATGCAAACTGGTGCTGCTTCCTTGTTAAGAGAGACTTACTACAAAACACTGCCAGCCAAACTGAACAGTGTGATTGATGAGGAGGGCGATTTACATTCTGGCCCGAGCTGCTTATCTTGCCAGGGAGCAGGGATCCACAGTTTCTAGAGTTGGTTCCAGGCTGTGGACCACACGGCGGGTAGCGCTGCTTAGATCACAAGGTGGGAAGTCGGGGCTGGGACCGCGCCAGGTTGTTCCGGCTTCCCATCCCGGCCTCTTGCACTCTGCTTGTGCCTGACCCGCCCACCCCCTGTGACGCGCACCCGCAGGTACGCACACGCACAGGCCTGCTCACGCGCCCTCGGAGAGCCCTGGCCCAAGAGTCAGTGAACAGGAAGCATCTGTTTCTTGGTGCAGAGGCCCCATCTCCCTGCCCCTCTGCCCCACCAGGCCTCTGTTTACATTAAGGGGTTTTACACCAGGGTTACTGTTCTCGTTACCAAGTCCTCCCGTCAGGGCCGAACAGAGCGGGGGCTGGCAGGGCGTCTGGAGTCAAGAGACACTGAGCAGAAAAGCCCTGATGGAAAGAGACGAAACAACTTGGCTTGGCTCAAGCTCCCAAGGCAGAAGGGGCGCTCAGGTTCCAGGGCCCATGTATTACCCAGTATTTACAAACTCCAGGCCTGGCTTCTACCTGCAGCAACAGACGCTGGGGAATCATGCCTCTGAGCTGGGAAGCAAGGCCACGGAGAAGGCGCGGGCCAGCAGAGCCAGAGCGGCCTCGTCTAAAGTTCTGTGTGGCATGCGGTCTGGCCTTCGCATCACCTTCCCCAAAAAGCCCATGGAATCCCATGATCACAGGGTTCCTTTATACCTAGACATAGCGAAAGACTCAGACCATTCCATGCAGCACAACTCAGTGACAACTATTGGGAGTCAGAGTTTGAACTCCCAGGCCACTATTCTATGGCTGTGTGACCTTAGGGAAGTTACTCAACCTTTCTAAGTTAGTTTCCCCATCTGGAATATGGGGCATAATAATACTGACCTTGAAAAGGTGGTGTGAAGATCAGTGATGACGTCTGTAAAGCGCCTAGAACCGACTCATTCACTCGTTCACTCACTTGCATGTCCTCATGTCCACGCTGAGCACCTTCTGCATGCCCGGCACTGGGATGCAGTGCTGAGCTGGAGCTCACGGCCCAGCAGGGAGGGTAGCCTGTCAGGGATCCCCCACGTGAGCACAGAACGAGCTGCAGGCCGCGCTGCAGAGACAAGTGCGTGACGCTCTGCCAGGGACGGTCTAAGCTGGGAATCAGCGAAGGTTTTACTGAGCAAGTGGTTTTGAGCACAGATCCCAAGAATGAGTAGGCGCTTATAATGCAAAGTAAGGAAAGAACATTCCAGGGGCATAGAGGGAACTGCTATTAATATGTTCCAGAATATCATTTTGGGTAGAGAGAAGGGGTTGGGTGTATTTTACCTTTTCAGGTAAAATTTACATCCAGCCAAGTGCCCAAATCTGAAGGTCCAATTTGATTATTCTTGACAAATACCCACACCCACAAAGCCAATACCTCTGTCCAGACATAGAACGTTGTCATCAGGTTGGCTTTACCTTAATAACTTTTCCCCTTATCATCCAAATCAGGGACTGGGTTTTAACAGGAACATTTCATGGTGGTGCAGAGGGCTGAGGCTTTGGACTAGACTTAAATCCCAACTCTGGCACTTCCTACCCATAGGACTTTGCCCAGGTTCCCCCGCTTCTCTGAGACTCAGTTTCCTCATCTGTAAAATAGGGCTACTGAAGCCCACTTCATAGGGTTTCTTAAGGGATCGAATCTGCCCATGGTTCTATAGGCCCAGCAGGGTGCATGGCCAATGGGCACCCTGTGAGTGGGCCCCGTTTCATTTCCAGAATGGAAGCTATGATAGGAAAGAGCCTAGAGGCTGGAGTCGGGCCTTCCCGGGGCAGCATGCTGGGAGCTGCCTAGCACACGCCGCTAACCCTGGTCTCTCTGCCCACAGGAATGTGCCTGCAGGCCTTCATAGAAGCTTTCTTTTACCTGGCTCAGAGGAAGTTCAAGATGCTGCCCCTCCACGAGCAGGTGGCCTCGCTGATCGACCTGTGCGAGTACCACCTGTCCCTGTTGGACGAAAAGCGTCTGGTGTGTGGCCGGAGTGGCAGGTCGGGGGGCCAGCCCCCCGACGGAGGCATGCCCCAGGAAGCCAGTCTGGCAGCCCCGCCGGCCAAGGGCAACCCCCCGCCCTGCACAGACAAGCTCTCCCACTCCAGACATGCTCTGTCCTGAGGGCCCCTCTGTCCTCCCAGAAGAGCAAGAGAGAGAGGCTGGAGAGAGGCTGAAGAGAGGCCCTGGGCTCCCGCCTGCGGAGAAATGCAGGCTGCCGAGAAGTCCCGCCTGGGGCTCTGCTAATTGTCCTCACGTTCTGTGGAGCTGCGCTTCGAGAGGCCGATGGATTCTTCCTCCCCATGCCTCTTGGTGGTAAACCTGTTTGCGGGGCATCAGTGGACGGACGACATCCCAAAGGTGACACGTGGCGCCTTCTATTCTGAGCTCACGGGAAGCGACAGCAGGGATAGCACTGCTGCGCTCGGGGCACCGAGGAAAGGACTTGTGGAGGCCGAGTCGTGGGTCTGCGGGGCCCCGAGAGCAAGCCCTGGTGAAAGCCAAGAGCGTCGTGTCTGCCTCCTGCTCCCCGTTCTGTGAAAATGAAGCGGAAATACCCAGCAGGCGTCCGCGACTCTCCCGTCCCAATCATGTGCTACATGGGTGTAGTTAACAGATTAGCCTCATTTATTTCATTAGCTTGCCTGTTGCTGCAGTGGCTGGTTTGTTATTAATTAAGAAATAATTAACTAAGAAGTCACTAAGGCTACTAGAATCTTAAAGCTGGTAGGAGCCACAGAAGTCATTTTGCCTGATTTTGACCTTGACCCCAAGCAGGAGTCGCACGGCCAGAGGGCCTCCGACTGGGGCCCTCACGGGTGGAGTGCTCACTGTGCGGCCAGCCCTGCGAGGGCTCCTGTGTGTCCACGCGGGCAGGGCACCCTGGGTGAGAGGAGGGGGCTTCCGAGGGGAGGAAACAAGACCCAGCTGAGGATTATGAGGACGAGCCGGAGCATGAGGCCCGAAGCCCAGGGCCCAGGCGTGGTGAGGAAAAGGGGAGCCCCGCGCTCCCTTGCACAAGATTCTTTCTTGTCTCTGCTTGTGTCCCCAGGAAGCCCTCCTCACAGGAGGCCACAGTGGCATTGTGGGAAATGGCCACGGGGACGTCAGGGCCCAGGGCACACTGACGACACGCCGGTGGGGGACTGCCCTTGCCGAGCCACGCTCCTCCCCGGCCCGGCCACACCGGCCCCTCACGGTTCCCGGGCTGAGTCCCTGGAGGGCCGGCCCTCCAGCGTGGGTTCCATGAAGGACAGAAGAGCAGGCCCCGCCTGTCTCCGTTTGGGGATGTGCACCACCGGGCCGCGCATCATGTCCCCGCGGCACCAGGGCCCAGCCAGACGCAGCACGCGGTGCTTGTAAAGGCGCGCTGGGTTCCGTGCAGTGGGCAGCAGTGCTGGACCCTGCGCAGAGACAGGCGCGCCCTCCCCTACACAAACCTCCTTGCTTGCCCTGCCTTGTGTCTCCCTGGGCCTCGGTCCACGCGCCCTCGCTCAGACCTCGTCATCCCTCACCTGGACGTCACCTGCCTCCTGCCTCTCTACCCCCTCAACACACCCTGCCTCCCTCTCTGGTGGATGGAGCTCCACGAACCACGGGCCGACAGCAGGAACCCTCACTTCAATCAACCCTCATCTCTGCCCAGTGAAGCCCAAGCCCCTGACGCCGGCATTCAAGGCCCCTCATAAATCTAAGCCCTCTCTTTCTGAGAGCGCCTGGCCCACACACCTCACGCACCCTGCCCTGACCCCGTGCTCCCACGGCTCCTCGTGTCTGCTTTTACGATGCCGGAAGAGCAGGTCCTGTCCCTACCACAGTGGCAAGGCTGAAGGGCACAGACCGACTCCGCGCTCTCCTGTCCTCGCGTTGGCTGTCCCCTCTCCCTCCGTCCAATGGAAACTTATCTTTCAAAGTCAAGCTCAAATGCCCCCTCTGCAACCCCCCAAAACAGAATGAACTGCTCCCTTCGATACCTGCAAGAACCTGGGAAGCTCCCTCATGGTCACGCCTGCCCTGTAGCATCACAGCATTTGCTCAGGGCCCAGCAGGTGCTGCTTGAAACAACCCAAACGTCCGGCAGGTCCCAGGTGAGGGGCAACAATGCAACGCTCCTCCTCCCCTTAGCCTGCAGGTGCCCCTAAGAACTGTGCTTTTCTAAACCTCGCCAAGGCGACTCGCTGAGCACCTCCATACTCCTGCAGGCTCCTTGGCTCCCGGGCACAGGGCCTGCCCCATGAACCCAAGAAGACAGTGGCTTCTCTGACCCTGGGCAGCCTCTCCATGTCCCTTTGTCCCGGGCTCAGGGCTGGGCTGTGTCCCCCAGGGGCACCGGCTCTCGTTCAGACTTGGAAACGAAGGCCCGCCAGGCTGGGTGGTCCTCACGGTGGCCCCTCCGTCGGCGCCCAGCGGCTTGTCCCCCTCCGCAGCCGCCTGCACTTTGTGTGAGGTGGGTTAAGTCAGATTAGAGGATCCCAGTGTGACTATTGACAGTCAGGATGGGTGAGATCAGGGTGGGAAAGACCCCAGACCCTCGGAATGGTGCTCTATGCCTTTCTAGAACCGCCTCCCTTTCCCACACGAATTTAACCTCTGTTCAGTGCTTCACAGTTTACAAAGTGCTTTGACGGCCACCCTCCCCACAACCTCGTGAAGGATGGAGTTTCATCACTGCCTTCTCACAGATGGGGACTGATGCCCAGGAGGTCAAGTGATTCGTCCGAGACCTCCGGGCTGAGCCAGGACTCACAGTGAGGTCCCCTGGCCCCAAAATACTATGCTCCTTCTCAGCACCATAGCTGTTGTACGTGGTGCCTCAATGTCCCCACAGCCCAGGGAGACGAGGGTTTTGGCCCCATTTCACAGATGTGGAACCCCAAATCTCAGAGAGGCTGGGAGGTCCCGGGGTTCTGGGGGCTCAACCTGGGGGCCATCTGATCTGGTCTTCTCTTGCCAAACACCAGAAGGGCTCTGTGGGCCACATACACTCTACGGACTCCAGGTCCCTGAGCCACACAAGGGGGTGGCAAGGCCTCTCTCACGTGATATCTGGGAACAAAGAATGAGAAATGGAAAGTATAGCATACGTGAAGAACATTTTGTAAAACAAAGTGCTGTTCCAGTGCCATGTTATCTGCAGACTGGTTTCTGGTTTCCTACAAGGTGTAAAGAGATGGAGGAAAAGGTTCCTCTTGAATGCTGTAATCCATCAAGACGCACGAAGCCGCAGCAGCCGGCTCCTCTCCCTCTGCCCCTCCCCCTGTCCTCACACCCAAGGGCTGAAAAACTGTCTCTGCCACTCTCTGACTCCTGGAGTCTGCCCTGTGATTGGCAGGGCATTATGACACCCAAATAGCTTAATTTTTAAAAACATCTTGATTAATGTCCTAAACTCCCTGGGCCTACAGGTGAGCACTGGGCTTGAAATGTTGGGCACCTGAGCCCTTTTCCCGGAGCTCGGAGCTGGGACAGCACCCCTACAGGAGCTGGTGTTCAGGGGTGGGGAGCTGGCCTCCTCCCAGCGAGGCGCACAGCAGCCCGAACCCTGCCCTGCCTTGACTGACACGTGTGCCAATCTCTATCTGGCATATGGATTTCTCCCGCACCAAATAAGTTCAAATTTTTCTATGTTCCCAGCGATCGAAGAGCTTTGCAGAACAGTCAACATATTTATTTACTTTCATCTCTAGTAACCGAAAGTCTTGATTTGTATATAACTAGAAAAACACGCAGCATAGTGCTTGTGTATAAGGTGCACACCCACCCACTAAGCGCCACTGAGCTTTGGTGTAAAATGGCAACATGACCGATGTTTTTCCCATTTTCCGACAATTTGCCTGAGTCTCATTTCGAGAGCAGAGGGAACGGGAGCTCTGTGCAGCCCCGGGGTAACAGACCACGCTCGCAGAGAGCTCTTGGGATGTATTTCCTCCCACAAGGAGGCGCTTGCTACAATGCAAGCCTCAGGCCACCGGGACGTTGCTCTCTCCCCGGGCCCCTCCCAGGCCACAGAGGCAAGGCAAGGAGCTGGAGGACGAAGGGAATCCGCAGGGATGTTTTCCCTTCTGAGTGGGGAGAAGGAGGGCTGAGCATCCCAGAGGAGGCCCTGGGTGGGGCGGGGAGACGGAGGGCCTGGGTTGTGCTGTCTGTCGCTCTCTCACTGAGACCTCACCCCTTTGCCCTAGTCCTGGCCCGTGCAGGGGAGACCACGCCATAAGGAATGTGAAGAGCCTGGCCTGGGACTCGGCACCTGGGAAGTATGTTAATAAATGTTGGCGGAGGAAAGGACTGGTCTCAACGTGCTGGAACTGGACGGATGCAGGACTGCGATGCCCACTGCGAGGTCCCTGACAGGAGACCCCTCGAGGTCTGGGGAGAGGCCCCAGCGCTGGCCCTCCTCCCTCCGTGGGGCCCTGCTGCTTGTGAGGCTGCGCCTGCCTCCTAAGAGCCTTTAAAAATTCTTTATTAAATTTTCATGGCGCATAAAGTCAAGGTTCCATTACTTGGCCTCAGTTGTCTTGGTAACTTTGTAAAATGCAATAATAAAATGAAGCTGAGTGTTGCTAACACAGGCTCATTGTATATAAACGGCTGCAAAGTATTGACGATTTTTTTTCTGCGTGATAATTTTTGACAGCAAATCCAGTGGGATGGACAAAGCTTATTCATTTTGGGTCAATTGGTGAGAAAAGGGCTCCTTTTAATTTTTTTCTTCTCTAATGGCGAATGTTAGCCTGGGAAGGTAAATGTTGTCTCAAGGAAACTGAGATTCTGGGGGGACCTAACAGGAGGTGTTTGGAAAATCCCCCAACCCTTCATCTTCAAGGACAGTCACCTTTAGGGAGGGAGAGACGTGTCCCTAGAGTCTGGCCACCTCCCCAAGTCTCTGTGGCAAGGCCGCCTGCCCCGGGACAGAGGGCGGCCCCCCCCTGGTTTTGCAGGTACCACAGTCACTGCTGCACCTCCGGGCTGAGTGGGCACACATCGCAGACTCTGCCTTCACGGGGAAAGTTCGGGGCAGGGCACCTCTCCAGAGGCCCATTCAAGCTGCAGCACAGAAGCCACTCGTGGGGGCCAAGCCCAGCTCCAAGGATGGCTGAGGATCCCGGGCAGAGTGTCGGTCCTTCCCTGGCCAGAGCAGAGCGCTCAGTCTGAGCCCCGGGACCCTATGGTCTATCAA